TGAGTCAATGTCAGAATTTTATTCAAATATTCATATTATTTCAGTATTCATTACAGAAACTTCGATTTAATCCTCTTTCGTTCGTTCGCATGATGTGAATAATGTTATTATAAGAATTTTAATTAACATTTATAAATGTACTAGCTTTCGCCCGCGACTCCGTCCGCGTGGAATTAACAAAAACGAAAGTGAGTAGCCTATTATCCTCTACTTCTATGCCAAATTTCATCGAGATCCGTTCAGCTGTTTACGCTACAAACTATAACAAACATCCATCTATCCATCCATCCATACATCCATCTAAACTTTTGCATTTATGATATTAGTAAGAGTAAGATTATCTTAACTTTAAACCAATCTTTACTATAATTTTATTATTTTTTACATTTACAAAAAGTTTACCGTTACGTAGATAATCGTTTACAAGAATGCTTGCAATTACCTGAGGTTCAAGGTGAAATGTTTTGGTATCTAAATGTCATTATTTGCAGAACCTAAATACTATTTACCAACCAGAAAAGCAGTAACAAAGATAGTCATCGATTATTTTATAGAATACATTTTATCATCTTTGAATTCTCACCTATCCGAGAACAGCTAAGAACAGGCTTTACCTAAACTATCTAATGACTGTTGTGCGATTGTCGATTGTTTCGCGGCTAAACCAGCTGTTTAGTTGCACAACTAAAATCGAGTAGTGTGCGCACTTCCATAGTTCTCCAAGTTCCACTAAACAGTTATGCGACAGTTTAGTCAAAGGTGTGCGCGCTCTATATGTGAAAACGAGAACCTATTACAACTTTTGCATTAGACAAAATACAAGTGATCATAATTATTTGCTTAATTCTGAAGGCAAATAATTAGTAAATAATATATCCAAAAGGCAGTAGTTGCCCTTTAATAATGCATACGTAATTTTTATGTTAACATTGTCGGCGATCGTTTGTTCATGAAATATGCACGAACTTGCTGTACGCAAAGTGAATTGAGACAGTCCCACTAGTAGAATATTCAGAGTATGAACATGAACTCATTACAAATGTATGTGATACATGTGGATGCAAAATTTTGGTGCATTTAATTGTGAATAATAAATTCAAATATTAAAATGTTCAAGCGTGGACACTGACAGAAATTGATCGATTATTTAAGCATTAAGTTTGTCAAACAAAAACGAGGTTTTTATTTATAATATAAGGTGGCAAACGAGCAAGCGGCTACCTCAATCCACCGAAATGGAAAACGACCGCTGTCCATAAACATCCACAATTGTAGATGCGTTGCCTACCCTTAATTGACGGAGGTGGAGACGCACGTAAAAAGGATATTTCCCCTTCCTATGCGTCTCCTCCACCGTCAAATCCACTTTTCCATCCCATCCTTTTCCTTTTAAGAAAAGGGTGGAAAGGGAAAGGTATAATTCATTAAGTAAACAGTTAAAACAATACAACAAATATCACCTAGCGCATCTTTTTGGCATTTAAATCTTACTACTATTATAAATGCGAAAGTTTATGAATATGAATAGGATGGATGTTTGTAAGAGTTTGTAGCCTAAACTGCTAAAGTGATCTCGATGAAATTTGGCATAAATGTAGAGGATAGTCTGAAAGAACACAGAAGCTTTAAATCAACACGGACGGAGCCGCTAGCGAAAACAAGTTTAGCATTAAACTAAATAAAAAAGCCTCTGATGGTATTATGTTGAACTAGAGCATAGAATTGAGGTGAAAATGGCATAAGAGTCGTAATATTCTACTCCTTTGAGGCGAGGCAGTTCGTATGGTTTGTATACACGTTGTATTGAATACTCTTTGGTTTTGTCGCAGAGAGCAAAATGGACGTGAGAGCGGACGACGACGAAGCCCCTCCAGACCCGGCGGCGCGAAAGTTCAAGCATCATGATTACACTGAACAAGATTTCGAAGGTACGAATGTGTTTTCTATACTATAATATTACGGAAAATGTTTAACAAACTCAAGATATTAATTTATTAAGAAAGTAGAGCAAATGTTCACTAGATATTTTGTTTGTCTTTAAAACTTTGTGGACTTGCAGTGTATATTTTCTTTTAACCTTGCAAAATAAATATAATTTGTCTCAAATCAACACATCATACAATTAGAATATGAGCAGAACGAATTCGCTATCAGAAAATTTCTTCTCATGTATGTTATGGAGAAAAGGATCTTCAGATATTTATTCTATAGGTCATCGAGCACACACTGTGTTCGTGGGGGTACATGTACCAGCACGTCGACACTCTCACCGCAAGCATAAACACCACCATCGCAACGACGATAAGGATGTCGATAGACCTGGTAAGATTTGTATAAGAAATTACCCATTTGTATAAAGAGTACACCATTTGGTCTAATAAATGCGCCCGATTATTCTCAACCTAAAATAAACATAAGAAATGTGTAATTTAGAGACACTTTTAAATAAGTTTAAAGATTTTAGAAGAGACGGCAAAGAGTATGTATCTTAGCACTATAAAATTGTAAATAATTAGAACTTAATTTTTCCCACAATATTAGCATCAATATTCCGATCCGTAGGGTCAGCGATATTGTCTCGAGTTAGAAGACTGAGCGTCACAGATGATGGAGAAACATGTAAGAACTATCATCAACCCATCTCTTCATTGGCCTCATTAGCAATCTAATTTCTGTATCATTAGGATTTCGTCATTACATCCTAGAGCATGTTTAATACTTGAAACTGTCGTGCTATTTCTATCATGTCTAAATCTGGGGTAAAACTACAATGTGCATGATTATCCAGTTCTCACATTATTTCGACTCAACTATAATTTAGATCTTCCCTTTCTCGTGGACCCCTAGTAATTGTTTTAGTAAAATTCAAATCTAATTGAAGAAATTGTTTTTAGTAACACCACCCGCTCAAAGGGTACAATTTATTCTCGGGGAAGACGTTGATGATGCTGCATTCGAATCCCATCCACTATTCTCAGAGATGGAAGAACTAGTCAAAGACGGAGATGAACTTGAATGGAAAGAGACTGCGCGATGGATTAAGTTTGAAGAAGATGTGGAAGAAGGTGGTAATCGCTGGTCGAAACCACACGTCGCAACATTGTCTTTACATTCCCTCTTTGAACTCAGAAGTCTCATTTTAAATGGCGCAGTTATATTGGATATGGATGCTAATTCTTTAGATCAAGTAGCTGAAAATGTTTTGGATCATATGGTAGGAGATGGTTCTCTAGGTTACGACTGTAGAGAGAAAGTGAAAGATGCCCTTTTAAGAAGACATCGGCATCAGCATGAGAAACGCAATCATAACAACATGTCAAAACTTCCTCTAATTCGATCATTAGCGGACATCGGAAGAAATCATTCTTCTTGCAAAAGTGAGTATGACTGTCTTGGATTTTGTATTGAAAACATAGAGATAAACATATCTAGTAATAGTCACGGGGATATACTTGGGGTATCCTATTAGATTTCCAGGAAACTGGTTCTCGACGTACAAGCGCGAGGAATAGTAACAATTCGTCACCTCAGACGGCATTACTACATGCGCCAGATGCCAGAGGCTCTTATCTAGCTGTCCCAGGTTAGACAATCTTGTGAGATGGTAAAAGTGTGAACATAAACTCACAACTATCACAGCCTATGTCTTATTATCACGATGACCTGCACAGCACTGGATTTGCTAAATTCTTACAAATTTTTTATAGAGGTTAAAGTATAAAATTACCATTCTGTTACCGTTAATATCCTGAAAATTTAATTTTAATATAATAATAATAGGCAATTTAATCCTTAAACCTCTGAATTTATTTATATGTATGTGTTTGTAACACTTCATGGCTCACTTTATTCCAATATGTTTAAGAGCATACAAATTAGTGTAGATATATAAATTGGCATTCTAAATTGCAGTGGAAGAAAGCAGTTCCAGTGGACATTCTCAGAAGGGAGATTTGAGTCGTTTCCTAGGAATACCTAGCGCGGGTAACCGCTAATCCTTAAGATGTTTAATGAATGTTTTCTTCACCATTTAACACCAAATTCTTCTTTATTTTGACATCGCCAACATTCATCAGCCTCCTATTTATTTATAGGCTACATTCACACTTTTTTATTGTTTGTTTCGACAATCGTTTTAGCTTTGGCTCTTGCTTGTTAATCGTTACTAAATCCTTATGGTATTATTTCGTACACTTTTACCTTACTTACTTTCTTATCCATTTGTCTTTTCAATGTCTCGGTCAGCTTGTCCTTAACAGTGTTTTTAGTGTAAATGGACAATAATCCATTTAACTCTATGTTACGTAGCTTCGCATCATTGTAAATTTTAACACCTAAAAGTCATTTTACTAATATTAATGTTTATAATTTCCTAATTATTTTATATCTTAATTTTTATGATACTAGGCATATATTTTTAGGTGGTGCTCCCGATGAATGTATGGTAAAAAGCCCGAGTAATATTTCAATGCAAAGAAATCACAGCTCTAGTGATCTCCCAATTAATGGTGATATTAATCATAAAAGCAACACGAATTTTATGCGCAAAATACCACCCGGTGCAGAAGCATCTAATATACTAGTCGGTGAAGTCGATTTTCTCGAAAAGACGCTATCAGCATTCGTTAGGTTGAAGACAGGAACGATCATGGGAGATCTTACCGAAGTACCTGTTCCCACACGATTCATGTTCGTTTTATTAGGTCCGCCGAACAGTAACTCGAGCTTTCATGAAATCGGTCGAGCTATGGCTACGCTTATGTCTGATGAAATTTTTCATGAAGTCGCATACCGTGCCAAGAAAAGAGATCATTTACTAGCAGGAATAGACGAGTTTCTTGACGCAGTAACAGTATTACCCCCTGGTGAATGGGATCCTGCAATCCGTATTGAGCCACCAGCTGCAATACCTTCACAAGATATTCGTAAAAGACCTAATGATAATATTCAAAAAGAAGAACCAGACGAAGAAGAAGAAGAACAAAGACAAAGGGAAGAATCTGGTTTAGCTAGAACTGGAAGGTTATTTGGAGGTTTAATTAACGATCTTAAAAGAAAAAAGCCATGGTATTGGTCTGATTTCAAAGATGCATTTGCACTTCAATGTGTAGCATCATGGATATTTTTATATTTTGCGTGCTTGTCACCGATAATTACGTTTGGAGGATTGCTAGGAGAAGCAACTGGGAAAAACATGGCTGCAATGGAGTCACTCGTATCTGGATTTGTTTGTGGTATGGGCTACGGTTTTTTCTCCGGACAACCATTGACAATTTTGGGATCTACCGGTCCAGTATTAGTATTCGAGACTATTGTGTTTGAATTTTGCAAACAGATTGGCTGGAATTATATGTCTTTTAGATTCTGCATTGGTACCTGGACTACCATAATATTGATTACTTTAGTCGCAATCGATGCCAGTGCTTTTGTTTGCTATATAACACGATTTACTGAAGAAAATTTTGCGACGCTTATAGCGTTTATTTTTATTTACAAGGTAAAAGACATTTTGTTTTCATGACAATTTGTCCAATCTCACTCTCATCTTAGTTTTAAATCTATCCAATTATCTTGTAGGCTGTGGAAAATGTTATATCTATTGGTAAAAAGTTTCCGCTGAGGACGCACGCTGCAGAAATTCTTAATTATGAATGTTACTGTTTACCAAGTAATTATTCCAAAGTTCCAGAGCAGTTTAATTGGACGACCGTTGAAAAAGAATCTTGCCAGGTACTTTAATAAACTTTAATCATAGTAATTACATATTTTTAAAGAGATTTATATTGTTTTTATTTGACTTTTTTTAGTTATACAATGGAACCTTGACCGGTGCTGGATGCGAAACGAAAGTATATGTTCCAGATGTTTTTCTGATGTCAATAATATTATTCCTGGGTACATTTACAATTTCGATAATATTAAAAGATTTCAAAAATTCTCTATTCTTTCCATCTAAGGTAAATTTAGTTTGTTAAAGAAATCAACACCACTTTTTTACGCTTTGCTAAATTGTATTTTTTACTTTAGGTGCGGCAAATTATAAGCGACTTTTCGGTAATTATAGCGATTTTGTCAATGTCCTTCTTGGATTATAAAGTCGGAGTAAAAACGCCAAAGCTTGAAGTACCATCAGAGTTTAAACCAACATTGCCAACCAGAAATTGGGTCATTACCCCATTCAATGGCAATCCCATTTGGTCTGCTTTAGTAGCAATTTTGCCTGCACTTTTGGGTACAATTCTGATATTTATGGATCAACAAATAACAGCAGTAATTGTTAACCGAAAAGAGAACAAACTGAAGAAGGGATGTGGATACCATTTGGATCTCTTTGTACTCGCTATTCTGATACAAATTTGCTCAGTAATGGGTCTACCATGGTTTGTGGCTGCTACCGTTCTCAGTATCAATCACGTTAATTCACTGAAAGTTGAATCAGAATGTGCTGCGCCCGGTGAGAAACCCCAATTCTTAGGAGTCAGAGAACAAAGAATGACACACATCATGATATTCTTGACTATCGGTTGTTCCGTAGTGTTGACACCAATTTTAAGACATATACCCATGCCTGTACTTTTTGGAGTATTTCTGTATATGGGTGTCGCATCATTGAAAGGTTTACAATTCTTCGATAGGATCTTAATAATGTTTATGCCTCAGAAGTATCAACCGGATCACATGTTCCTTAGACAGGTTAGTTTTATAACTTCTAAAATAATAAGAGATCTTCTATCTGTATCTTCTTTTATACATATGTATAAATTAAAGTGTCTGTTTGTAATTTAAAAAAAAAACAGATTTCGGAAAGATGATGTATTTGTGTTGCTGATAACGAAAATTGCATTAAATCTTTTTCTTTGTCTGTTTGTCTGTCCGCAAGCCGTATTTATTCCGGGTAACCTGACATAGACGGGCATCTTATAGACTACTTATTTATCTTAATATTTCGTGGACGAAGTCGCGGGCAACTGCTAGTTCCTAATAAAATTACTAATGTTAATTATGATTTCAGGTCCCAATTCGTCGGGTGCATTTATTCACGGCCATACAATTAACGTGCTTGGTATGCCTTTGGGTGATAAAGTCGTTCTCAATGACGTCTATATTATTCCCATTGATGCTTGTAGTCATGATCGGGATTAGGAAGATGTTAGATTTGTTCTTCACAAGGAGGGAGATGAAGATATTGGATGACGTGATGCCGGAGATGTCGCGACGGAATCAAGATGAACTACATGAGCTAGGGGACGCGGAGGTACGAGAAAGATAAAAAGTGCGACAAGAAACAAACATAAATAAATTTAGTGACTAGTAATTATTGTCTTTCAAAATAGCCCTGTATGATGTGAATAATTCTATCTTTTTTCTAATAATTATTAAGTTAACTTAAGGTTAGAACTTTTAGGTACCAAACAAGAGTAACCCACCGCCATATCAAGAGAATTTACAAATACCTCTTATAAATGGAAATATTATGAATATACCATTAACTTCGATTAATATATCCGAGGAGGTAAATAAGACGGGCATCTGGAAACAAGTGAACAGCAGCAATAAAATGGCGCCAACAAGTGACACTAAAGATATTAAGGTGAAGTCAGGGAAGAAAAAGTTAGTACTACGTATTTTCAATAATTAATTGATTATTTTCTAAAGACTTGTATGACGTCTTTTAAACTAAGATACAGTAAGATGAAGTTATTAATAAAGAAGTAATAAAGAAGATTAATTGATTTTACGTATTCAATGTTTAAGAATTCAAAACAGATTTGAACTTTCAGTAATAAACACAAGAAACTAATGTCAAAGAACGCACAATCAGAGATCGAGAGGAGACTGTCGACTATGGATGAAGTGGAGGAAGATGATTCTACATCGAAGGTGTGCATCGATGACACGAAATTTTGAACAGGCATGACACCCCATGTAGACAGGAGGATCACAGCATGGCAGCATGAGGCACGGTACCCTGACTCCCACGTGCATGGTTATACATTACTTTTTAAACATTATTCGGCACTACAGCTGTCCATTTTCATTTAGCCAAGGGAAGTACAAAAAAATATCTTTTAATTTCTACAAAAAAATTAATGATACAATAATGTTAAATGCCGATTAATGTTTGATATTTGTAGATGTATTTAGAGTGTAGAATTTCATGTTATTTATTTTATTTCAATAAAGTCAATATTATATTATATTTGTTTTTTATATTTATTATCCCCAAATTAACTTTTCAATTGTAAGGTTCGAAAGAGTTATACATTGCATAGTAAAACTGTACGTTACTTTACTTTTAAACTATAGACCATAGGTGAATAAAGCATAGCATTCCATTCCCAATGTATTTTGACCAAATGTCCGATTCGTTCATCGCAAATTGTAAGAATGTTGCTTATCATATATGTAACTATACTAAAAAAATCCAATTTTAACATATTTTTTAATGCAATGACGCTAGATTCATTAGCATATAGCTTCATATTTAATTAAATACAACTGTTGTAAATGTTTGTTACACTCCTTTAAAATCCAAGCTTGGTTTTGCTAAAATAGATCAGCACCGCTTATGTATATAAACATATTATTATACTATTATAATAGATGTAATTTATAGCTAGAATTGTTAATTAAATAATTCATTACATTATATTAAATATCGTATTTGTATGCATATTGCGAATATTAGTGTATTATTTAAATTCTTAATCTAATAAATTTCCTGTACTATGTGTACCTATTAAAGGTAAGAGAATAGCCACATCTAGACGAAAAAATGTTTATATCATTGTCAAAAAATTTGAATATTATTTCATTTTATTTAAACATTTTCCAGAATGACATGTTAAGGCGATTGGATTCTTGGAATGGAAAAAAGTGCGATCCAAGGAGAAATAGTTACTCTGCTGAAACTTCTGTGTAACTGTCATAAAACGTAGGTTTACATTGCTTGTACACTGGTATACTGTTCTCCCTTTCAAAATCTCTTTGAAAAAAGAGACAACAATAGAATCTGTGCACTTTTATCGGCAATAGAATTAAACGATTACATTTCATAAGGCGTCTATTTTTAAAGATAATTTTGAAGGTTATAACAGGATTAATTCTTTATACGTAGTTTTAGCGAGCATTTCGTTATTCGGATGATAATCTTAAATGAAATTTAGAGCCCACGGCGACTATAGACTTTATCGGCCGATAATTTGATCTGGTCGAGGTATTAAACCAAAATGAATTAAATATTGAATCGAATCAGTGTAATCTACGCACTTTATCGTCCACCAAAACCAAACTATCGTCTGAAAAGAAGTCTATAGTCTACGTTGGCTCTTAGATGATTAGCACAAAGTTATTGAATGTGGGACTGAAATGAACAAGTGTTTAGAAGTTTTTGATGTACTTGATGATGCTTTATAGTGTACTTTGATTGTTGATTAGTATTTATTTTTTAAATCTTTTTGATGTGCGTAATTTTAAATGTAGTATTTAAAATGTTTTGTAGTCGTATTAAAATAGTATTATTGTATTATTAAGAACACTAGATTCAATTATAGACAATTGTTAAACAAGTGCCAATAGAATAAACACCAATCGCTTAGATGCATTGTTAAATTTAGGGTCGGTTTCCACTGTAGAAAGATGGATACAAAAATTTCTCATTTCCAATCTGTTTAGAAAAACGCATAACATAAAGTGTACCATGTGATTTGTTAGTGCAAATATAGTTTAGCTGAATCATTAGAATGTTATCAAACATATTATAAAGTAACTAAATTATGCCCGCTCCACACATCCAGTGTCAACGAAACTATCTGAAAAAGTTTAGTTTGACAATTACATTAGTTCAGTTAAAAATAAAGGCGTAGTGGAATTATAATCGGCTACATTCAGTGCGCTAAATCTGTCATCTAATCCCTCGCACCCAGAAGAACGCCGATAGGCTCAAAAACTGTCAGAACTGACACAGGATTGGCACGTAAGTGTACCCTCTTCCTTTACTTATAAGTCTAACCAAAGTTGAAATAGCTTAATTAAATAGTGAAGTAATTTAAAAGAAACATGAAATTCGCATCTGTTAACTGACAGTTGAATACTGAAACGAATTTAAAAGAGTTACTAAGCGCTGCTTACAATCTGATAGATGTCAAAAGTTTAATCGTAGTGTTAACATTTGCTGTTACGTATTTAAAATTCGTTCCAATATTCGGCCGTGAGATTTTTGATGTGGAAATCCATTTCTGTCAATTTTATTAGATCTGTAATTCCGTGATACATGTTACCAATTCTATAAATAAGTACAAGATAGATAAGTTTGTAAGTTACCATTTTTAGTTGATTGATATACGTAATAGATAAAATAGTTTTAATTTAACAACCTTAGATGTATAAACTAAAATATTTAACAAGTAAATGTTATTTATTTCCTTAAATAAATGTGTCTTTAATTTGCGATCTTCGATATTCAATGTTCATTTGTAAAGTTCATAGTTGTTTAAACTATGGTCACATTAATGCCTAAATTAGTGAATTTGTATGTAGGTTTTCTTACACGTATTTTTAAGTAGTTTTATGTATAATTAGTATAATAATATAAGTACGTAATGGGATATGTTTGTTATAAATTTGCATCATTTTTGAGACATTTGTGGTTATGAATAAATGATTTTTTATGTGCATACGAGTTTTAATTATAATAATTACAGCAAACCTTAAGAAGAAAAAGTGATTTTCGAACCTATTATTTTACAAACTATAGCAATAACTAAATGAAAACTAAAAATTAATAAACAAACATCCAATGATAAACATGACAGTCATAACTCTATTTCAATAGCTCGCACACTTTTTGACCAACTTCCCAAAAGAAGGAGGTACTCAATTCGTCTGTATGTTTTTTTTTTGTTTTTTGTGTGTTACGGCATAACTCCGCCGCTAGTGGACCGATTTTGATAATTCTTTTTTTATCCGAAAGGTAATGCTTGCAGGTGGGTCCCATTTATTTGTTTGATTTTTGGAGTCAAAGACTACGACGTAGTTAAATAGTTTAGCTCAAAATCGCGCGACGACATTTAGGGTCATTTTGACTAAACTATCGCACAACAGTTGTGCGATTGTCGATTGTTTCTTAACCCATTCAACTGTTTAGTTGCACAACTAAAAAAGGAGCAGTGTGCGTAATTTTTTAAGCTCTTAGGAATCAAAGCGAGACAAAACAGTTGTGCGACAGTTTAATCAAAGGTGTGCGCCCGCTCTTAATGTTTTTCACTTGTTTCTAGATAGGTAAACTTCGATAAAATGCTGAATAAATGTAAAAATCTTAATCCCAGACGTAAAGAGAATAGGGTAATTTAAATACGGTGATCCTGCTTTTTATGGCGCCGTTCGAAGTAAATTACTCGGTTTTATGTTTATTACTCCCTAGAGTTAGCTTTTTTGTTAATTATTGTCTCAACTTAGTTTCATCTTGCTAATTTAATTTCTTTGTAAAATAGTTTTGTAAAACATTTAGATATGTACAGTCAGCTGCAACAATATGTATACATTAACAAAGCTTTCAGAAACTTGTAAACACTTCGATTTCAAATACATGTACGAATATGAATGTATGCCTCTTAACACGCGAAAAAGATTGTTTTTTATAAGATAAGGGCTTAAACGAGCGGCTTGAACACATACATAGGTGGTCAACGACGCCCCATAGACATCCGCAATACCAGAGCAACTACAGATGCGTTGCCGGCCTTTGAGGAAATGGTAGACTCGCCTCTTGAATTACCCTAAGTCGTATTGGATCTATATTGATGAATGCGTGCATAAGTATTTTGAAATATCAAAGGTCAATTTTCTAAAGTTTTGTTTAGATCGTTGAAAATTGTGTTCATATTTATCTAGCCGTCCTTACGTAAATAGTATTTCGCCGATTCATTGCTTTAGATATTTGCTCACAGTAATGTTCATATCAGGTAATCTCTACAAAATCCATTGAACTGTAAAACTCACACAGTTGAGTGACATTTAAATTTGACAATTTAAAAAGCCCGATAGCATAATTGCTTAAGATACAGACACTAAAAATAATACTGTTAGTTCGAGCCCCCTATTTGTTTATTTGTGAATTAATGCGTAATACAAAAGTAGGGTAATCACATTGTAAAAGATTAAATGAATTAGCTAATATTAAATTCTATATAAAAACACATCAATAAAAATCCAAGCTTAGCTAAAACCAGCTGTTCCCGTGCGGCTTCATCCGCATGAAATTATGAAAATTTTATTTTATTGTTTACATTTGTCAAATTATCAATAGCAAATATCAAAATGACATGATATGACAAACTTTGGCAATCTTGCTTCCTTGATGTTGGCAGCAACTTGTGGTCGCTTTCCCACATTAGGATTTTTATCTAAAATATTTACCCCCTAAGTTTAATGGGGTGAAAATATATAGCCTAAAGCGTGACGTAAGGGCAGGGCTTTTTATTATAGAAATAATTATTCAAAAATATGCTGTAATTGGTGACATCTTAGGTAACAAAGAAGTGTGTGTTTACGCTTTATTAGAATAGTATAGATAGATTAGTCATGACCTAAAAATGTCTGTTTCTATGAAAGATAATTCAAAAATAAAGTAACAAATATATTTGTTAGAATAAGAAACCGCTTTCAAATAATATACGACCTTGAAAATGATATTCTAAATTATTTTTATTCGGGACTCAAAGCTCTAAAGTAATCGGATTGTGTTCATTCAGTGAATAAGTAATTTAACTTACAGTCTTTCAAACTTTGCATACCTCAATGATATTACAATCATCGGACTGGACATATAAAATACTAGCTGTAGCTCGCGACTTTGTCTCCGTGAAATAAAAAAAAAATAGCTTCTGATATTCAGTAATAACAGCCTTTTAATGATGCAATAATTTTAGAAATCGGCCCAGTAGT